TGCCGCGCGCTGCGTGCGCGTGGACACAGTCGAGGCGGTGCGTGTGCAGGCAGCCGAGGCGGCGCGCGTCGTGCGGGCCGACGTGGTCGGTCCTGGCTTGGCCTTGGAGGCCGCGTTCGTCGAAGGGTTCCAGCGAGGTGCTTGCATTTCAATCGTGATCGAAATATGCGCTGCTTCCTACACATCGCCTAGCTTTTTCCATTGGGAAAAGCGAGACCCTAGCCCTCGTCTTGCTGTTTGTATGTCGGACGAGGAGAAGCGTCCTCGGGCCAGTGCGGTTTTGGCCGCTTCTGTACGCCGTACAGTACGTCGCCGCGAGTCAAGTACTGCATGTAGAGATATCGCATGTCGACCCGTTGCCGAGCTCGATTTAGCGGACGCCGAATGTCATATATGAGGTGGACTGGACTACAGCCGACTCTTAGGTAATTCTCTATACGCAAGGACTTGATCACCGACCATCCCGATACGTATGGACCACCCCGTCTTCGTCGTGCTTGGGCTTCGAAAGGCAGCACCCAAAAATGCAGCCATGCAGACGAGGAGTTTCGAGTCGACTGAATTGTTCCATACCCAACCCTAGTCGGGCGTAACCCTACACTCGGTCGTATACGCTTAGCACAGTGATTGCTCCTGTCGTAGACACACTTTGCTACGTGATGCAGCTCGGTGTTGTGTGAACTATTTGTCTGCTGCTAAAGACTTTAAGACATATTGAAGTTCAACAAAACACGCAGGATAGCCAGCTTGCTCGGATCGACCGAGGGACGGTAAAGTCGCTTGGTTGAACCGCAGTTGCCTGCTGTCCGTGTGGATGCTTCCGCACCGACACAGGTCCGAGCACAGTCTCACTTGCGTGATCATGTTGGCTATCGAGGGTGTTTACTGGAGCGAGGCACGCACTTGGTACGTGGCCTCGACCATGTTCTTGAGCGCGGCGATGGTCTCGGGCCAGCGGCGCGTCTTGAGGCCGCAGTCAGGGTTGACAACGAGCTGCTTGGCCGGGAGGAGCTTGAGGAACGACTCGAGCTTGGCGACGATTTCGGCCTTGGGTGGCACCACGGGCGAGTGAATGTCGTAGACACCCGGGCCCAGGTCCTTGTTGTACCCGATCGACTTGAAGGCGCGGATGGTCTCGTCACCACTGCGCGCGTTCTCGATCGAGTTGACGTCGGCGTCAATCTCGTCGATCGACGGCATGCAGTCGTTGAACTCGCAGTAGCACATGTGCGTGTGGATCGACGTCGGGTTGGCGGCGACGGCGGTCGCGAGGCGGAAGGCGTCGACGGCCCAGCGCAGGTATGCGTCCTTCTTGGCGAGCTTGAGCGGCATGCCTTCACGGAGCGCCGGCTCATCGACCTGGATGATGGAGCAGCCAGCCTTCTCGAGGGCGGCAACCTCGTCGCGGAGGCAGAGCGCGAGCTGGTACGCCTGCTCCTTGCGCGTAATGTCGAGGCGTGGGAACGACCAGTTGAGGATCGTCACGGGGCCCGTGAGCATGCCCTTCACGGGCTTGAAGGCCGAGAAGCCCTGCGCGACCTTGAACTCGCGCACCGTCATGTCGTACGGGCGCTCGAGGTCGGCGTAAATGACCGGCGGGCGCACGCAGCGCGAGCCGTACGACTGCACCCAGCCGTTCTGCGAGAAGGCAAAACCGTTGAGCTTCTCGGCGAAGAACTCGACCATGTCCGTGCGCTCGGGCTCGCCGTGCACGAGGATGTCGAGGCCGAGCGCGTCCTGGACGCCAATGTTGTACGCGATCTGCGCGTCAATCTCGGCTTCGTACGCCGTCTGCGTGATCTTGCCGAGCTTGAGCTGGCGGCGGAGACCGCGGATCTGCGCCGTCTGCGGGAACGACCCGATCGTCGTCGTCGGGAGAATCGGGCACGACTTCATCTGGTGCGGGCGGCGCGTCGCAAAGTCCGACGGGCGCTTGAGGTCGGCTTCCGTGACGCCGTTGACGCGCGACTGGACCGCGGCCTTGGCCGGGTGCTCCTTGTAGTACGTGGCCCACGCGGCCGTCGCGGCCTCGAACGCCGACGACGTGTTGAGCTGGCCGTTCTTGACGACGTTGGCGATGAGCTTGACTTCGTCGAGCTTTTCGTAGGCAAAGCTGAGCACGCCGTAGAGCGAGTTGAGACCGGCTTGGAAGTCGACTTCGGCCTTGGTCGTGTACGGCACGTGCTGGAGCGACGAGCTGGGCTGGATCGTGATCGCGGCGTTCGGGCTGCGCGAGACGACCTCGACGATCGACGTCAGGATCGGCGTGATCGTCTTGGGGGCGATCTTCCACACGCCGCGGCCATCGACGATACCGGCGCCGAGGCGCTTGCCGGACGGGAAGCCAAACTTTTGGAGGATCGAGAGGTTGTCGCCACGCGTAAAGTCGAGCGAGAGCGCCGCAATCTTGGACGTCGTGAACCACTTGTAGACGTCTTCGTCGATCGCCTCAAAGTACGTGGCGAGGTGGATCTTGACGTTGGGGTGCGTGAGCGCGCCCGTGTGCGTGTTGTCGCCGTAGACCGTCACGAGGTGCGGGAAGAGCGCCGACGCATGCGCGCCGACAAGCGACGGCTCGTGGATCTGGACCTCCGGGACGCCGAGCGCCGCGAGCTGGTTGATCAGGAGCGTGTAGAGCGGGAGAATCTTGGGGAGGATCGTCGCAAGCGTCGTGGTTTCGTCGTACTTGGCGAGCGCGAGGTACGTGAGCGGGCCGAGAATGACCGGCACCGCCGTGTCCTTGCCGAGTGTGGCCTGGGCGCGCTTGATCGTCTCGAGGTACTTGGCAAAGTTGGCCTTGGGCGTCGTGTGCACGTTGAGCTCGGGCACTTCGTAGTGGTAGTTGGAGTCGAACCACTTGGTCATGTCGAGCGCCGGGATGCCGTCGAGGCCACGGGCCATCGCAAAGTAGCGGTCCGTGTCGTTCGAGAGCTTCCCAAAGCGCTGCGGCTCGCAGCCGAGGTACAAGGTCCAGTCAAGCACGTGGTCGTAGAGCGAGAACATGCCGACGGCAATGCGCTGGATGCCGCGCTCGACCTGCGCATGCCAGTTGGCCGACTCGACGTCCGACGCCACCTTGCGCATCTGGTCCTCGGTCACGGCGCCGCGCCAGTACTTCTCCAGCGCAAACTTGAGCTCGCGGTTGGGGCCCATGCGCGGGAAGCCGAGGGTACCAGCATCGATGTCAACGGCGATCGTCATGGCAGAGGGATTGCTGTAGAGAAAGCAAAAGGCAGAATGAACTCTTCGTGCTGGAGAGCGGTGCCATGTTGAAGCTCGCGCGATCTTAAGAGCGTGGGACCTTCGGGGCACGGTTCCACGAATCGAGGCGTGCATTGCGCGCGTTTGATTGGCGCGCGTCGGCTTGGCCGCGCGTGATTCGCTTGCTCGCCGTTTAGAAAGGCGGTTGACGCTTGACAAGCTGGCAGCCGCTGATTGGCTCGCGCCCGATCTTGTGCCTACGACGGTTTTGATTGGCAGGCTTGCTGGGATGGAAGATCGCACCAATCAGCGACGCCGCAGACATGCCGCCCAAAAGATCGCGCTGTTGCGCAACCAGCTTGCATGCGCACCCAGTCGGTGGATGAGGTCTTGGGGATAAGCACGACCGTGCACGCAGCCAAGTCTATTTCCATCGAAAGTGTGTGGAGCGCACCCGGTATTTGCAGCCTTACGTTTGGGTGAATGTGGACGAGACGCCCAAGCAGCCTCGAAATAGGCGAGCGGTAAGCACGCTGTCGCCAGCGATATTTATCTGTGGACCAACACATATGCATTGGTGGGAACACTACGAGACAGGCATGGGTCGCCCAAATGTGCTCCATGGGTATGGGAATAATTGATCTTTTCGGTTTCTTGTCATCGTCAACGCGCTTCATGCGGACGCAGCTTGAGCGCATGTTCACCTTGACCGGAGGTGTAGTCGACGGATGTATGGAACATGCCAAGTACTTTTGAGCGTACTTGTCATGTGTGCGCACGCGGTACCTTGTGATCTCTCCGTCACGTGCTCCGTAGACTGTGCTAGCGAACGTTGCAGCTCGCGTGCGACGGTGGCGATGGTTTCATCTTTGGTGCAACCAAGGACCCTACGTGTGCAGTAGGGCAGGCTTACACCCCTGACGTCCTTGCAGAACAACGTGCTTCACTCGATTGCTGATTGTTCAGTGAGATATGTAGTGCCGAAACTTGAGCATAAGGCTCCAGGTCCCTTGTCTGCGTCATGTGCGTGGCCCGTAAATGCGTATCCCAAGCTCTCGACGTTTGTCCGCGCCAAGATACCCAAACAGTACTACCTCGCACTACCTCGCTTGTGGAGGAAATTGCGACTCGGTTCCATGGGAAGATTCATCCTTGCGGCTACTCGTTCCTCCAACTACCGTTATGCAGGCTCGCTGCAGCAATCAGTTCCTCACAAGCGTTTATCGAGCGACGTTGTTGACCCTTCTGGAATAGCTACAGAAGAAACGCCCCGTCTCCTGTGTAAATGCTCGAAACGCATCCGGGTTTGGCGCCTTGTACAACGCGGTCCAACGACGCAAGGATGTTTCCAGGTTGAATGCTGTCCTTGCCGATGGATGCTTATGACAGACACATAATTGACAGCTCGTTCGACCGTCACAATAATTGTGCTGACCCAGCGTACTGTCCTTCTCAAACTATGTGGCAACGAGGGTCAGACGTCGCTTCATCACCACCTCAACGTGGTACGCGCAGAGACGTACCGGTATACACCAATTGCAACACCATCACGCCCCACCGCCACCACGCTCCAACGGCACCAGGTTCAAGCTCCGTTTTTGCAACCGCACGTCGCGAAGCGAGCTCATCAAGTGTATGTCGTTCACCAGTCACTCGTGCTCCTGGCGAACAAGCTACGTGCTCTCTCTTCGCGCTCGCGCGTTGCATCATGGTCCTTCTCGGGCGCCACGCGTGCTGGCGATGCCGAGGCGCTCGCTCCTCCTCACGGCTCTTGCTTGCGTAAGATAGCCTTCCTCGTGCTGGAGCGATATAATGGCCATCTGCACTACTGAGATCGTGGGCCCGGCGCGCGGCCACCATCTTGCTGTTGACGGCAACCGGTTAATTGCCTCGGTGCAGAAACACGTGTGCATAAAAACACGGACCGTGCATACAAATACGCATATAATTAAAAGCGCCGTGCGGGAGAGGCCAAGAGCGCCATCGTTTGCCTTCGGCGCTGGGGCCGCCAGCCAATCAGAAGGCAGCATCTGGGGCGACGTTCGTGGTGGCGAGCAGTCAATCTCGGATTTGACTCTGAAAATGCAGCGCGCCCTTGCCAACCCCGCGAACCTCCAGGTCGAGCTCCGCCACGTCGGCCGCATCGTCGCGCCGCTTACCACGTGGGCTGCGCCCCTCGGTGCCATCGTCGCCTGGTGCGCGTGGCCCGGCCTCACGGCTGAGTTCAAGGAAGAGACCTTGGGCATCAAGCAGGCGCCGGCGCACGGTTCGATCGCGGCCGCTGCCAACCTCCGCCCCAGCTCCAAGTACAAGTACATCAAGAACGAGATTGGCGAACGCCCGTCGTTGGACGACGAATAGACTTGTGTGGTGCCCTAGATTTAATTCGACCCAATGACCACCACTGGGTTGCTGTCTGTACACGTCTACTCGCCCACGTGCCAGCGACCCCGAGGACGGGCGAGGATGCAGGATGCCACGCAACGACATGGACCGTTGCTTTTGGCACACATCACATCTCTGCGGGCCCTGCCCAAGAACACGGGAAATGACGCATGTTGCCAACGCTCTTTGTCGTTAGTTGCGGATGCCAACACAAAACTTCACGGACTCGACCGACGCAGGACGAGGTCGAGGAGGCAGCGGGGCTTCTTGTCTGCGTTCTGCGGCTTCCAATGGCGCTTGCGCATGTTGGCAAACCAGTTGCGCACTTGGAGTTCGCTGAGCTGCGTCGTGTTGGCAATCTCGTTGCGCTCCTTCGCCGACGGGTACGGGTTGCCCTTGTGCGCGAGAAACCACGCGGTCATAAACTCGTTCGAGCGGCGCGTGAGGCGCGCGCGCTTGAGCTTCTTATCGTCCTCGAGCATTGACGTGTCGTCGTCGTCGCTGGTCTTGTGGTTGGGACTCGAGTCCGCCGACCGCCGCCCCGTGCCTGCAACACAACCTCAAAGTACCGGAGCATCCGCAGCTGGAGCGTCAGAAACACGAGAAGCGTCGGCGTCACGATCGCATGTGCCGGCGCCTGCGCCTGCGCAATGAGCTTGGCGAGCTCGCGCTTGGACGGCAAGCTTGGTTGCGAAGCCGCTGCCTCGGGTGGTGTCTCGAGCAGGACAAAGACCCGCTGGAGGAGCCCATAGAGCGGATGGTCACGCACGAGCGCGAGGATGGCCGCTGGCGACGGTGCAAGCACTGGGAGCGGCGAGGCGGCGCGGCTGGCGCTCGGCCGGGCCGTATATGCAGCACTCACGTTGGGCAGCGTCATCGCTCAACTGCCTCTTTTCTCCAACGCTCGTATCGCGGCCATTTTATTTGCCAACGGGTGTATCACATGCACGCGGCGACGTCTTCAGTGTGCAAGTTGCATGACGCTGCCCAACCACCGCCCGCCGCCGACAGCGCAGCCTTCCAGCTCCGCACCAAACAGTCCGCTCGAAGCCGCGACCGACACGTCGAGCTTCGGGTCCGAGGGTAGCCGCGACTATGAGGACGCGACCGCCGACACGCTGCTTGGACCGACAACGTCCATCACAGACGACATTGCTTCCACGCTGACGCACCTCGCCGGCGACCCGGTGTGGGCAGCAATGGCGCCGCTCTTTGCGCCACCCATGGCGGACCTCCTTCGTGCCTCGTCCACAAAAGATGCCCGCGCCTCCAAGTGCCTCGAAGAGCTCAAGAATGTGCTCGCAGCCTCGTCGGCTACGACGCGCGAGCTCTGCGACCGGTACATGGCCGCCCTCGACCAGGCGCTGGAGGCGTCGCCATCGACGCCCAAGGCCGCGAAGAAGCGCACCAACCTCTCCAAGGCCGCCAAGCGCGTGCTCCGGACGTGGTTTGATGCCCACTTTCACCACCCGTACCCGACGGACGAGGAGAAGGACGTGCTCAGCGCCCAAGGCGGCATTACGATCGACCAAGTCAACAACTGGTTTATCAACACGCGGGTGCGCGAGTGGAAGCCCAAGCTCCACCAGATCCTCGCGGACAATGCGGCGGGCAACACGCACACGCTTGACGCGATGCTTGACAAGGTCAAGGAACCGTACAAGCTGTAATACACTTAGAGAGAACGACTTCTAGTAGCATGCAAGGGTGTCTACGGCTGGCGCTGGCGGCGGCGCTTGGAAGCCGCGGCGTCCGAAACGACGGGCGCCGGCGCCTCGACCTTTTTGGGGATGTCGTCGCCGAGAAGCTTCTTCTCGGCGTGCTCGAGCGCATACTCGTGGACATGCAGGCGAAGGTTGACGCGTTCTTGCTTGTACACGCGGGGCGCGTCAAAACCGGGGCCGGCGCCGACACCCATGCCCATTTGCATCTGCATCGCACGGGCGTCGTCGTTCACTACACGACAAGCATAGGTACATGCGGTGACGGATGGGGATGGACATACTGCTGCCGCTGCCGAGGATGAGTGACATGAAGCCGCTCATGCCAAACATGATGAGAAAGTAGAGCGAGACCGACGAGACGTACGAGACGTCCAAGGTCCTACAACGCAGACAAATCCATACTCGTATCCAAGGCTGAGCAGTCGTAAAGATGTCGTACGTCATTTCAATGCCACGCTGCAACATGGCCTTGAAGCGTTGCGTGAGCGAGAAGGGCACCTTGACTAGACATCGTAGATGAGCCTCACGGGACTTTGGATGAGCATACCGAGGACGAAGCCGCCAAAGAAGTAGCCCATGAGGCCCATCATGACAAAGTTAGACACCATGAACGTCATGTTGCCCTTCATCATCTTCATCATGCTGTTGGGGTTCATCATCTGGTTCATCGCGTCGTTCTTGACTTTTTCACGCAGTGCGCCCTGGACGCCGTCGTTCTTCTCCGAGGCCGTAAAGTAGAACTTGCGCATCGAGAAGGCGCTACGCGTGATGTAGTGGCAGTTCATGCGAAGCATCGCCGCGCGCTTGACCGTGTTGCTAGTCACGTCATGATGAGCGATGCATGCCACGTAGCATGGCAGTACGTACATCTTGCGCAGCTCCTCGAGCTCGCCAGCCTCGTCCGTCTTGAGGAGGACCGAGACGTAGTTGCGGATCATGGCCGAGCACACGAAGAGGATGATCATGGGCACGATGACCCAGTCGCGAATGCTCGGGTCGAGGATGAGGTCGCCCATGCTGCTGCTTGCGTTGCTTGAGGCGCTGTTGCTGACTGTTGTCCACAGACAAACTCGGAAACCCGTTAGCAGTAATACCATGTCTTTTCAGAGGCTTTTCCGGAAAAGAGACGCTAAACCCACCCAACGCTAGAGGGTCCAAGACTTCCAATCGCAGCGTTTTGCGTTCCTTGCACCAACGTTACTTGGACAGCGCATCCATCCATACTTTGTGTATTACAAGGCGCAAGTTCCAGTCGATGATGCCCTTCGTCGACAGGCAGGCGTCCCGTCGCGCATCGATCTAGAAGGATTTACATATACCCAGACGATACTAGCTGGGCGAGGTACACCGATTATACGCTTTGCGGAGCGCAGCAAATTGCAGCGCTCTTCCTGAGGGCACTAGGCTCGCTTGGCGCTGATGGGTTCAAGGGTTCGCCCCGCAATGGGGTCGCATTGTCTGTCTGAAGGACCGTAGTGTTGCGTGAGAATAGACGTAACCTGGTCTGGCGTTTCTCGTATCCGGACGCGTATCTTGGAGGGATTCTCGAACAAAGGTCATCGACAAGCAGCCCAAGTCCGCTCGTCCTTCATCTACCGCAGCAGCATGCGTCATCTCGACCTTCTCTGCCTGCTCCTCGCTACGCTCTACACTGGGATCCAGGGGTCCTGGTTCTCCTTGAGCCCGACCCCGTCGGCTCGACGCCTAGGTACTCTGACACCTCGTAGAGGCAGAGGCCATTACCCTACTCTGCGTAGATGTAAGCGCGACGCCGGTCGTCACGTCGACCAACGTCGTCGTGGGCCGAGCGACGAACCTCTCGATCGTGTTTGCGTTCTCGCAGCCGATACCAGTGAACGCGACGCTCGCGCTCCAGCTGCCGCCGCCGTTCGCGTACGTCAACATCGCCCCGTCGCTGCCGTTGCTTGCAATTACAAGCTACGACGCGAGTGGCGCTCAAGTTCTTCGGTCAAGCAGCACGACGCTGGACTTTAGTCTCAACAACACGGCTGCGATCGCTGCTGGGACAGTAGTCAACATTACGCTACCTAACGTCCACGTCCCGCCGTCCACGGGCGTCCAAGACACGTACCACGTCGCTCTACTCGATGACCAGAACCAGCAAGTTACTTTGGTGAGCATCCTTGGTAGCGTCTTGCAGTCGGCGCCATTGAACCTTGGGTACCTCGGAGTCCAGTCGCTGCGCGCTGGCCAAGACGCCGGCCTCATGGTTGTCTTTTCCAATGCACTCGATATTCCGTCCAACGGAGAGGTTATCGTGTCCTTGAACCCATCGTACCAGCTAAGTGTCAACACAACGTTGCACATGCTCAGCCACATCGGCAACTACTCGATGACGCACGCGTCCAGTGTCCTCAAGATCCAGCGCGATGGCAGCACGATCACGAGCGGCTCCACGATCGCGTTCTGGCTCAGTAGCTTGCTCAACCCGCCGACAGATGGCATTGTGGCGAGCCCCGGCGTTGTGAGCACCGCCACAAACGAAGGGTACCTCTTGGAATCCACGGCCATGTCGTCCCTGCCCATCTATTCGGGTACGTCGCGTCCTGGCTTCGACGCCATCGCATCGAATACCGTGTCTGTAGCTGCCGCCAACTGCCTTGGACAATGCGCCGCAGGGTTCTATGCGTCGGCCTTTAACGCGTCCAACGACGTCTGCACGGCATGCTACGCTGGCGCATACTGCACGGGCGGGTGCGCACCGCCAATAGCATGTCCCATTGGTACGTCTTCGTCGATTGCGCTCGCCACAACCGCGTCGACGTGCATGACCTGTCCGAGCGGCTCGACAGCGCTTGCGCCCGGATCTACTGCCTGTACCCCGTGTCCGGCAGGCTTCTCCTGTGCGAATCCAGCCCAAAGCCCGACACCGTGCGCTGTTGGCTCGTTCAGCATCGGTGGCGCTGCAACCTGCGCTGCGTGTCCCGCTGGCTCGAGCTGCGCGACGACATCCGCCTCGCCGACGCCCTGCAGCCTCGGCACCTTTAGCTTGCCGGTACTTGATTCCCTGGCATTCTACGTTGCTCAAATTCCATGGTAGGGGGTCGCTGTGTGCAACCCGTGTCCAGCAGGCCAATTTTGCGCTGACCCGACGCAAGCGCCTGTTGCCTGTGCCTCGGGCACGTACGCAACCGGAGGAGCGGCGTCGTGCACGCCGTGCTTGGCTGGTCAAGCGTGCCCTGTTGCAGCGGCCGCGCCCATTGTCTGCGGCAACGGAACGTACTCGCTAGCCTTGGCGCTCGCCTGCACCGTGTGCCCTGCTGGCTCAAGCTGTGCAAGTACAAACGCGCTGCCACTGCCATGTCCGATCGGCAGCTACGCGTACAAAGCACTCTCATTCGATAAATTCCCACGTGAAATGCTGCTCATAGGCTTCAAGGGTCACTGGCATGTACACCATGTCCTGCAGGATATGCGTGCGCGTTGACAACTACTGCCCCCGTGCCGTGCGCGACGGGATACTTTAGCGTTCCAGGCAACGGTACGTGCTCAGTGTGCCCCGCGGGGTATACGTGCGCCGGAAATACGCTCCAAGGTTGTTCCAGTGGCAGCTACAGTCTTCCGGTAGCTTCGTTGGCGCGGAATAGAGCTGATGCTGTGGATCAGGGAAACACGAGCTGCATTACATGTCCCGCAGGCGCGGCGTGCGCATCAACGCAGCTACCACCAGTGCCATGCTCGCTTGGAACGTACGCGGCGGCGGGTCAAGTGTCCTGTTCCTCGTGCAGCCCTGGTTTTATGTGCCCGGTTCCGACTCTTGTACCGCAGCCGTGTAGCACTGGGTACTACTCGAACGCCAACAGCGCCAACTGCACCGTGTGTCCCGCGGGGTCGTATTGCGCTACGACGTCGATGCCGCCTGTGGCTTGTACTCCGGGCACGTACAGGTATCCATCGACGCCACCACAATGTTTGATAACACAATGTCGCATACCCTAGTCTAGCAGCAAGTACGGCGTGCACCCCATGCCCCGCTGGCATGCAATGTCCTACTCTGTCAGCGGCCCCCATCGCGTGCGTCTCTGGTACATTTAGCAGCGGGAGTCAGACCAGCTGCACGTTGTGTCCTGCGGGCGCCATGTGTCCGACGACCACGTCGATTTCACCGCTGCCGTGTGCGCAAGGAACATACTCGATCGCCGGTGCAACGTCGTGCACGTCGTGCCCCGTCGGCAAGTACTGCCCGTACGTCAACCAGTCGGTCGCGCTCGCTTGTGCCCCAGGAACGTTCTCGGTTGGCCTCGCGAGTGCCAACTGCACCTTGTGTCCAAGCGGGTATCAGTGTCCCGCCGTGGATGGCACCGGGAATGCTCTCTGCCCAGCGGGGTACTTTTCGACGGGTGGTGCCACCGCATGCACAAAGTGCCCTCCGGGGCATGCGTGCCCTTCGACCGACACGAACGTGCAGCTGCCATGCAGTTCCGGCTACTACAGCACTGGCGGCCAAACGGCGTGCGTACCGTGCCCCGCGGGCTTTGCGTGCGCGGATCCGACGTCGGGTGCAAAGACGGCGTGTGCGTTTGGGACGTTCTCGGGCGGTGGACAAGCCAGTTGCACGCCATGTCCTGCCGGGTTTCTCTGTCCGTCTGTGAGCAACTCGAGTATTACTCCATGCGGCCTTGGCCTCTACTCGCTGACCGGCCAGGGCACGTGTACGTCGTGCCCCGCTGGGTACAGTTGCAGCAACCTCACAACCACGCCCCAGCCGTGTGCACCGGGGTACTACTCGCTCGCGGGCTGGACATCGTGCTCGCCTTGCATGCCAGGATACGAGTGCCCACACCCGGACCAGCCACCGCAGCCATGCCCTATAGGCTATTGGAGCCCCGGTACGATTTTGAACTGCTTGGAGTGCAACCCTGGCTACCGCTGCAGCCTTGCATCGACATCACCGACCCCTCCGGCGTACATGCTACCTGGTTCCACATGATGACTGAGCTCTTTATGACATATGTAGCGATGCGTGTCCTGCGGGGGGCTATTGCAATCCGCCAACGACATTTTTCATGTGTCCTCCAGGCACGTATGGCAACACCACGGCCGGCGAGGTACTGCGATCGACTGCATTCCAAGGTGTGTGAAATCGGCGTAGAGTGTCGACCAAGCGTGTGCCCCATGCCCGCAGGGGTTCTATTGCGGAAGCGGAAGCACTGCAGTGTCCATGGCGTCATGTCCACCGGGCTTTTACTGTCCCGTCGGCACGTCCTATAGCTCTGCGTTTCCGTGTCCAGCGGGACAGTACAACCCAAACCCGAATGCGGGCTCCAGCATGGCCTGTGTCAACTGCCCGGCGGGGTCCTACTGCCCCGCAGGCAGCCCGCTACCAGCGATATGTCCGTCGGGATCATTTTGCCCCGCCGGAACGCAAAGCGCAACGCAGTACCTTTGCCCCGCGGGAACATTTGGTGGCAACAACACTGGTATCGTCTCGGGGTCGCAGTGCATCCCGTGCACCGTGGGCAACTATTGCCCGCCCGGATCGGTGAGCCCGACGCCATGCCCTGCCGGACGCTACAATCCCTCGACAAGTGCATCCGGACTGTACGAGTGCCTCTTGTGCCCCCAAGGCATGTCGTGCCCCCATGTTGGTCAAATCGCTGTAACTGATCCGTGTGCCCCGGGGCACTACTGCCCCGTCGGGACGGTCTCGGCGATATCGTACCCTTGCCCCGCCGGCACGTACACGGACGCGATCTCGCTTGTGCGCATCAATGACTGTACCATATGTCCCGAGCGCTACGTACGATCGTAGAGTGTTTTCGCCGCTCATTTGGGGTCTTCTGTAGGCGTGTTTGAGTGGCACGGGCAACAACATGCTGCAAATGCTGCCGTGTGCTGCGGGTACGAGATGCTTGTACTTGTGTGTTTTTCCTATCGCGTGTTTGCAGGCTTCTTTTGCCCGAATGGCACTGCGTTTCCAAAGCAATTTCCGTGCCCACCGGGGTACTGGAGCAGCCTTGGCAGTCTCGCGGCCGCCAGCGAATGTACGATTTGTCCGCCGGGGTCCTATTGCGCCGGCGGCAACTCGGTCATTGATGGCCCATGTGGCCGAGGGCACTACTGCCCGATTGGCACGGCGTTGCCGACCACGTATCCATGCCCTAGCGGCACGTACACGGCGCTGACCAACTTGACGGACCCGACGCAATGCACGGCGTGTCCGCCAGGCGCCTACTGCCCGACCGGGTTGGTTGTTGTATTTATGGGAAAGTAGGCACGATAGTCCTATGTAGGTCTGTGACACCAGTATTATGCCCTCCCGGCTCGTACACGTCGGTGACCAATACGGCAGCACCAGGACCAGGGACGTTTCCGACGTGCACGACGTGTCCGTCAGGGTTCTACTGCCCCCTTGGCAGCGTCGCACCGTTGCCGTGCGGCGTCGGCAAGTCGTCGCCAATGGCATCATTCACGTGCCAAGCTTGTCCAGCGGGTTACTTTTGCGGCAGCAACACGACAGCCACCGAGCTTTTGCCGACGTCGGCAGGGACGTGGAACCTGCGTGGGTCTCTCTTTGGTCGATGCTATAACGGCACGTACTGCCCGGGAAGCATGAACTACGAGCCAACGCTCGAGACGAATGCATGTCCACAGGGCTACTACTGTCCCATGGCGACCCCATCGCCTGTCTATTGCCCCGCGGGAACGTTCAACAACGTCACTGGCCAAGACGCTCTTGCCGACTGCATTCCGACCCCAGCAGGGTTCTTCAGCTTGCCAGTAGGCTACATCGCCAGTGCACATTTTAACGTACTTGCTGCATAGGCATCGGTGGTGCCAACAGGCGAGTGCTCGCCGGGCTACTACTGCCCTTCCATGTCGACGTCCGACACACAAGTCGCTTGTCCACCGCGTTACTACCTCAACCGAACCCAAGGTCGCTCACAAGACGATTGCGCCGTGTGCCCAGCAGGCAAATACTGCACCATCGCTTCCACCGTACCCACGGATTGTCCGCGCGGATACTACTGCATCACGGGGACGTCGAACCCCGAACCGTGCCCGTTGGGCACCTACGGCAACGCGACGGGTCTCAAAATGATGGAAAACTGCTTGACGTGCCTCCCCGGCATGTACTGCGATGGAACGGCGCTCACAAACCCGAGTGGTCCCTGTGACGCGGGATTTTATTGTACCGCGGGCTCGTATACGTCCGCGCCAAGCGGGTCTGCCGGCACGAGTGGCAATGGGCAGGGCGGGCAGTACATTGGAGGGCTTTGCCAAAAAGGTGGCTATTGCCCCCTCGGTTCATCCACGTCGCTGCCATGCCCCGCGGGAACCTTCAACAACGCGACAGGTAGACGCATTGCCCATGTACAGTGTAATCGTTGCTCACTTTGATACAGGTGCCCAGAGTTTCTCCGACTGCACCAACTGTCCACCCGGATACTACTGTCAAAGTCTTGGCTTGAGCCTCCCGACCGACGTCTGCGCTGCGGGGTACTTTTGTGTCTCGGGGGCCACTACGCCAACGCAATACGAGTCCCCGATCGGGCACTTTTCGCCTGCGGGGGCTTACAGCCCATCGGCGTGCCCGCCTGGGACGTTCAACAACCAAGTGCGTCAGTCCCAGTGTGCCAACTGCCCCGCTCGCTTCTACTGCAACGGCACGGCGACGGTGCAGCCTGCTGTGTGCCCTCAGGGGTACTACTGCCCTGCGAGCACCGCACTGCCGCAAAAGTGCCCCGCTGGCACCTACAGCAACCTCACGGGCCTCGCTGCGACGACAGACTGCCTCTCGTGCCCGCCGGGCTTCTTTTGTCAGACGAGTGGACTTGTGCAACCGTCGGGGCCTTGTATGGCCGGCTACACGTGCACGGGCGGTACTCCATTCGTCCTGTGCGAGTGGTGCTTTAGTTGACCATAGGCGCCATGTTCCCCAACCCCAACGGACAGTCGTACGGCACGATCTGCCCCGCCGGCATGTACTGCCCCCTCGGGTCTGCGCTACCTCTGCCCTGTCCGCTGGGAACCTACCGACCCAATACGCTGGGCCAAAACTTAACGGATTGCACGCCGTCGCCCGGGGGCACGTTTAGCAACGCCACAGGGCTCACCGCACCCACGGGTGTGTGTTCTGCGGGGTACTATTGCACGTCCACCGCTTTCATTGCGACGCCAACTGACGGCGTCACTGGCAACCTTTGTCCTGTCGGGTTCTTTTGCCCGTTAGGCTCGTCCTCACCTCTCAAGTGCGTCGAAGGCACCTATGCCAGCAGCTTGGGTCAAGCGCTCTGCACGCCGTGTCCCGCTGGCTCGTTTTGTGACGGAGTCCTCACGGACCGCCACCAAGTGTGCCCCCAAGGCGCCTACTGCCCACCGAGCACGGGTGCCTCGCAGCCACCGTGTCCGGTCGGCTCGTTCAACAATGGCACGGGTCTGCCGGCGATCACCAATTGCACCGTGTGCACACCCGGGTCGTTCTGCGCCAGCGTTGGCCTCGTGCAACCCACAGCGTTGTGCCAAGCCGGTTTCTTCTGCAACGCCGGTGCTGTCAACGCGTTCGGACAAACGACGAGTCAGCTCGTCAACGGAACATTGTCTGCCAACGCGTCATCGTGTCCGAGCGGTAGCTACTGTCCCGTCGGGACATATCAGCCGGTGCCGTGTCCTGTGGGGACGTACTTGCCGACGCGCGGTGGGCGGCAGCTGTCCGACTGTCAACTGTGCACACCGGGACAGTACTTTGATACGACGGGTGCTGTGGCGCCGAGTGGCCCATGCGACCCGGGGTACTTTTGCCAGCACAACAACGCCGTGGCGCGGCCGACCAGTATGACGACGGCAAATAGCATGCAATTGGGCGGCGGCGTGTGCCCGGTAGCCAACTTTTGTCCCAGTGGGTCGAGCGCGCCGACGTTGTGTGCGGCAGGGACGTACTCGATCAGTACGGGTGCCAGTCAGTGCACGCCGTGTCCTGCAGGTACGACGCTGTAATGAATCTGCAGACACTCACGGTGGTGGTAGGCTACTACTGCCCGTCGGGGACGAGCGACTACAGCGGGCTAGCGTGTCCGCAAGGGTTCTACTGTCCGCAAGGAACACGCACGATGCACGAGTATCCGTGTCCGAAAGGCACATACAGCAACCAGACGATGCTGCAGAACGTGACGCAGTGCGTGTATGCGCCGGGCGGAATGTACGTCGACATTGTCGGAGCAGTAGGGCAGTGCATGTCTGGCTTCTACTGTCTCCGGGGTGCGACGTCCGTGTCGCCCAATGACCAAGAGGAGCTCTGGGCAGGGCAATGTCCCGTGGGCACATTTTGTCCAAATGCGACAGCGCTACCCACGCCATGCGAGGCCGGCCACTACTGCGCGTCATCGGATCTTCAAAAAGCGAGTCCATGCAGTCCTGGCTTTTACTGTGTTCAGGTACTTATCGACAAGCACGGCAAGGCCATCACCTGACAGTTGTGCTTGTAGGGCTCGTACACGCCGACGCCGACCGGCCAAGTCGTTGCGAATGGCATCATTGGCAACGAGTGTCCTGCCGGCACGTACTGTCCCGCGGGCACGAGCAACCCGATACCGTGTCCGTCGGGCACCTTTTCCAGCGTCAAGCAGCTCGGCAATGTCACTCAGTGTCTGCCCTGCTCGGCAGGCTACTCGTGCCCCAACACGGGCACGATCTTGCCGTCGGTGCCGTGCCCTCCTACCGTGTATTGCCCCGGAAACAACGTGCAGGTGACGTGCCCTCTCGGTCATTACTGCCCAGGGGGTGTCCTCACGGCACCCGTCCCTTGTGCTGCGGGATCGTTTGCCAACATTACGGGTCTGGCGGCATGCTTTGGCTGCCCCGCGCGGGCGTACTGCGGTACGGGAACGATCATTCCTGTGTCCTGCCCAGCAGGGTACTATTGCCCGACGAACACTACGTTTGCCCACGAGTATCCTTGTCTGCCCGGGACCTTTAGCAACATTTCGGCTCTTGCGAGTCCTCTCGAGTGTGCCCTTTGCCCCCCCGGCCAGTATTGCTCGGGCCTGCCACCCACATGTATGCATCCGATTCGCAATTCCTTCGAGCTGCTCACCAAGATGTAGTGTCGCCGACGGGTCCTTGTGCACCGGGGTACTTTTGCGCTCTTGGTGCACGGACGCGAATGCCGGTCGACAGCACGGGTGGCGTCTGCTCCGATCGATTCGTACGAACAGCCTGATGGCATTGACTTAACAGATCGACTAGGTGTGCTTGGGCGGAGCGAGTGTCTCAAACCCCGTCGACGGCGTTACCGGACGACTCTGCAATCCTGGCTCGTTCTGCGTCAATGGTACCGAGCAAGCGTGTCCGCTGCATACATATGCCGCCATTGGCGGCCAAAGCAGCTGCGATGCGTGTCCGTTGGGCCGCTATTGCCCTGGCAACACATCGGTACCAAGTCCATGTCCGCAGCGGTACTACTGCCCCGTGGGTCCCCCCGTTCTCTGTCCGAACGGAACCTACGGCGCCCAGGTGCGGCAAGTCTCTCGTGCTTGTAACCAATAGTAGTCGGTAGATGGGTCTCGAACTCGCATCTCAGTGCAGCTCGTGTCCTTCGGGCATGTACTGTACCGACGGAACGATCACGGGGCCTTGCGCGAGTGGTTACTTTTGCAAGTTTGGCAACTACCAGCCCAACCCGCTCAACTACCATCAAAGCCTCTTGCCGTGGCAGCAACAGTCGGGGGGCGCGTGTCCCATTGGTTACTACTGCACGCGTACGACATTTATATTTGATGCTGTGTGAGTGACTTTGTGCTAGAAAATACCACCGACCCGTTGCCATGCCCAGGCAACTCGTCGCGTCTATCGCCTTTTGGCACCGAGCTATACGACTGTGCGGCGTGTCCGGCTGGCAAAAGTTGCTTGGACGGCACCGTGACAGTCGACTGCCCTGTACGCACCTGCCTTGCCCATGACGTCTTCAATGTGTATTTGTAGGTGGGCTACTATTGTCCATACGCGCAACTGCCACAACCATGCCCCAAGGGCACGTACAATCCAAGCACTGGCGCCAGGGCTGTTGAAAACTGTCTCCAATGCCAAGCAGGTCGATATTGCAACCGCACCGGTAGCGTCAACGACACTGCGTTCGACTGCCCCGCGGGCTCGTTTTGTCTGCGCGGTGCACCGGATGCAAGCCCGTGTCCTGCCGGCACGTACTTGCCGACGACGGGTGGCTCATCTGTGAGCAGTTGTCGCGTGTGCCCCGCCGGCTACGAGTGTCCGCTGGGTAGCATCACGCCGATCGTGTGCGAAGCCGGCTTCTACTGCCCCGCAGGCTCGGGCAACATGACGATCTGTGCACCGGGTTTCTACTGTCCGTTCAATTCGACGGCAGGTGTGCCTTGCAGCGCGGGCTACTACTGCCCCATGGGCGCCTTCAACCAGACTGCGTGCACGTTTGGTACGTACTGTCCGCCACGAGCGAGCAGCCCGGTTCCGTGCCCATTCGGGTCCCTCTCGTTACTGCGCCCCAATGGATCGCTGTACAGCAGCCGCTCCGAGGTACGTCGTGTGGCAGCTACGACCAGGCGAATATGATGCATTCTTACGAAGGCGTGTCAACTGTGCCCAAAAGGAACGTACGGCAACGGCGCCAACTGCACAACATGTCCCGAGGGGTTTGTGTGTTTGGAAGGGTGTACGTCCCCAACGCCCCGCAACGCGTCGATGGACAACGGGTATCCGTGCCCCGCGGTACGTAACACTTCCATGCGCGTCGTTCTTGACACATACGCAGGGCTACTACTGCGGCAATGGAACATTTCAAGAGCAACCATGTCCCGTGGGCACCTTCAACCCGCTCACGATGGGCACGTCATTGAACACATCGTGCATGCCCTGTGCGGCCAATACGTACCAGTACCAGGTGGGCCAGGCCACGTGCTACCCGTGCTCGACGAGGTACGCTTTCTCGACGAAGCATCGTCCGTCATCATGTACTGGACGTATGTAGCTCGAATGCCGCCCTTGGCTCGGCGCAGTGCCAGTGTGTCGGCCAGAACCGCGCATTCCAAAAATCCGATGGCTACTGCATTTGTGAGCCGGGCTACGAGTATTACGACTCGAATGGCATCTTGCGCTCCGACAGCGACGACACTGTATGTCGCAGACAATAGTAGCGTGGTTCACATCGTGTGTAGGCCGACTGCCAGCCGGTGGTCTACCCTCGGTGTGGCTCAAGTCAGGTACGATCGGCCTCTGGGAGCTGCGTGGACCCCTCGAGTGTGTCGTGTGCGTCGGCATGCAACGGCGGCACCGGCACGTTTCTTGCGACGTCTGGCATTTGCACGTGTACGAATGCGCCATCGCTCGACTCGGTCTGCGACAGTGCCTGCCGTGCCACGACGACGCAGCTGCGATTAAACCCATTGACGAGCACACTGCAATACTACGACCCATCGACCAACGTCTACACCCCCGTGCCGGCAGCCGACCAAGGCGCAATCACGGGGAGCCTTAGCTGCAACACCAATACGTCGACGAGCTGCCAAGTGCTGAGCATGCAAGTGGGCGGGAATGCCTTTAGCGGCACGTACAGCAACGTGCTTCCCGGCACGTCGCAGCGCCGCCGATTGACCGCGTCGACGGGCATTCTCAACCCAATGCTCTGTCTTCAAAAGAGCGACTCGGTCCTCTTCTCGATCAGCGGCGCGTCGTATCCCGTGTACATGAAGGACTCGCTCATGAACACCAACCCGAGCTTCGACTATGGACCGTTCCGGTCGTTGCAGGAGGCCATGGCCTCGAACGCGTCGATCGTATCAGCGTTTGCCTACACGTTTACGGCGGCCGGCACGTACGTCTTTGCTCTGAGCAACAACAGCGCCGCATTGACGATCGTGACTGTCATGGAGACGGTGCGCCTCTATATCCACATCACCACCATGGTAGCACCATTTTCGTAGGGCGTCAAGTGCCCCACCGATGGCCCGATTGTGCCCATGAGCCAAGGCAACTTGATCGTCCTGAGCGCCAAGCCCAGGTACATACATGGGCCAACGATGTCGATTCAAAACGACATCGTGTTGTAGCTCCAATATTATCATGGCGCCCAATTGGGGTCTCATTGCGGGATTGCTCTGCGCGCTCTTTGGCGTCGTTGCGGGCATGATTGGCGGCCTCTACTACTTTCGGCGCAAGTCGTGGGTCGCGCAACACTCGAGCGCTGGCGGCTACAAGGACAAGGCGCGCGGCTTCAATCTCAACAACCTTCACACGAAAGGCTCGGTTGTCAAGAAAACAGCCAAAGCGGTCAACGAGGCCGACGGCGCCGTTTTGCCCGAAGACCTTGAAGCCAAGCCCGAGGTCCAAGCCAGCGGCGACTACGTGCCCGAACTCAACCGGTATGTTTTCGCCTCGTTCGAGTCAAGACCTAAAACTGGTGTCCAGTTGGGACGACGACGACCTCGGTATTCGCGAGCTTGTGGATCGCCTGCAGTTCCACCACGACTCGGTCGAGAAGGCATTCCACGACCAAGAGACGGGCGCGGCCAAGATGATGAAGATGTTGCAGGTGCTGTCCACATGGTCGATCGGTGGAAGTCAACGCACTGTGTATAGAACGAAGCCGACGAGCTCAAGATGCTTCTCGCGTCCTTGGTCGTGGCGCAAAAGAGCCAAGACAAGGACAAGGCACCGGCGAGCAACTGCGACGCAGAGCTCGTGCTCCTCGACACGCTACAAAAGAATGCAGCCGACCGCGCAGACTTTGTCGCGAGCTTGTCCGATGCCGAACTGCGCGTGGCAAATGCAGCGAGGGAGCTGCATACGCTTGTGCACCCCAAGACGAGCCTTGCTGGAGCCATCATGGACGAACTCGCGTCGCCAACTCTATCGTCCCCCACGTTTGCCACGCTTTTGGCCAACCTCGCATCGTTCGAAGCCAGCGTGGTCGCCGAGACCGGGTTGCTCCCGACACTGCAGTCCGAAGCCAACCGCCGCCGCGTTCAAAGCGCCGTTTGGAAGGCCTTTGGCCACACGACGAAGGAGCTGCTGCCACCGACGCTTCTCGAGGCCAAAGCCAAGTGCGAAGCTGCGCATGGTGAAAGCGACGGTGCAGCAGGGGAGGCGTGCGACTACCTCGTCAAGTTTGCCAGCGTCGTGCCCACGTACACCAAGAAGCTGCACGACTTTGCCGACACGTTCCGCAGCGAGTGGCAGCACGCCGTCGAGCAGCAAAACCCCGCGCTTCTCAAGCCCGTCCGCGTCAAGTATGAAAAGGTGCTTGGGACGCTGTTGAAAGAGCTCCAAAGCGGCACGACCAAGCTCTCACAGCGCGTCCACGCCGACCAACAGGCGCTCACAAGTGCACGGGCACGCTTCGTGCCAGCGACGACCCACTTGGACACCGAGCTTGCGCAGCTTCGCGACCACTTGGTGACGACGCAACCGATCGTGGTCGACGATGACGAGGAGCCGACGTCGGACGTCAAAGAGCTTGTGACGCAGCTCCGAGCGCTGCTGGCCAATCCTGGACAGCTTCAGTTCGCGGCGCCAGCGCTCAATCTTGACAAGCTCATCGATGATGTCGCCACGGACAAGGTCGCGGCGCACCCAGCCGAGGCCGTGATGGACGACGCTGACGAAGCGCTTTTGGGTGTGGAGCTGCGTCGCGAAGTGGACCGCGACAACGAGCGTCTCGAGAAGCTCAAGACGGACTTTTTGGCGACGTTGGAGGCCAAGCCCAACCTCGGCGAGGCCGAGCGAGAGAGCCTCCTTGACGCCTTCAACGAGGACATGGCCCATTTGCAGACTACGCTGGCGCTCGAGCGCGAGAAGCACCAGGAGCAACTGCGCAACCGACTTGCGATCCGCAAGCTCAAGAAGGACACGGAGCTCGAAGCGCTACTGCAAGACGAAGCGCTCGAAGAAGAGATGCTGGAGAAACAAGAGGCCGAGATGCAAGCGCTAGAGCGCGCCTTTGCGGAAGAGCAAGCCAAGATCGAAGCCGAGTTTGACTTTGGCGAACCCGACATGGACTTTGGTGAACCGGACATGGACTTTGGCGAGCCGGACATGGACTTTGGCCACACGAACAACGACGGAGACATGATGCTACCGCCGTCACGAAACGCGTCGCACCAAGACGAGCGGGCAGACCCCGTCGGGCGCATGCTGGATAGCGTACGCTTTTATCCGACGTCAGCGCGGGACGTCCTCATGTGTTGCTTGTAGTTTGATGAAAAGTGGCGCGAGAAGCAAGCGAACCTCGACGATGAGCATGCGCGGGCCAAGCAGCGGCTCAAAGACCGGCTACGTCACAAGCGAGATCGCATTCAGGACCCCGCCCAAGACGCGCTGTTGCACGCTGCTGAAACGCTGCAGGCACAGCTTTTAGACCGGGCATTCGAGACGCAGCGCGACAAAGTGCGCAACGAAGCGTTGCTGAAGAAGACGATGTCCATGACACCTGCCGACGCTCTTGACAAGGTATGTTGTTTGGCTCTTGCGTACATTGGATCGTGATGCCTTGCAGGTTGTGCACGACAATGCAGCGATATGGGCTGCGCGTATGAAAGCCGCGGCGCAGGACGAAGTTGCTTGGCGTACACAATTGAACACTGTAGCCGCAAGCGGTCAGCCATTGCCGCCCGAGCTTGAGCAACTGCAGCATGAGCTTACACAAGCTCTTGAGATCGAACACGACCTCTTGACAAGCGCCCAGCTGCTAGAAAAGGCGCAATTCAGCTCGCTCGCCGAGTCGGACCAAACGACGCTGGACGCGGTTCGTCACTAACTCCATCAACGGCATCAAGATCCGTCGAAAGCTTACCGGTTGCTGCTGTTGATCTAGATCTACAAGGACTTTGACGCCAAGTGGAAGGAGCGACAGGCGCTCCAAGAGTCGGACGAAGCGCGAAACAAGCGCAAGCTCATGGAGCGTCTTCAGGCCAAGGCTGCTTCGCCGCGCGATGCGTTTGCGGTGTCATTAGACGACGTGACCGAGAAAGCGCTTCTGCACGGTCTAGCTGCGGAGCGGGATGCGTTGGAAACCATCGGCGCGCTGCTAAAGGCCAATGATGCGAGTCAAGCCAATGACGCCGATGTGGCCGCGGTACGAATCATTCACCATTGCGACGGCGCGCGCTCACAGATAGAATGCGTAGCTGCAGGCAACGTTTGCCAGGGATTGGGCTCGACAAAAGCAGTTGCTGGCCACCGAGACAGCGCTCAAGCGGGCGCAGCTGGCAGCGCGACTCGCACGTCAGAAACAGCTCATCGATGCAATGCCTGCCGGGGTCAAGGACGCAGCGCTCGCCATACTTGCTTACGAGAACGCGATTGCCGAGCGCCAAGTGGTGCGGGAGACGGACGTGGCCACCGAAGCGTTGCACGCCGTGATCTTGACGGACAAGGCGACACTCGATACATTGTCGGTGGACGACAAGGCCTTCATCCAGCGCGTAGGCGCCTCGTCTTGTGTGTTCATGGCACCGACTCATCCTTTCTAGTTGCTGGACGAGCACGCAACGAAGTGGGCCAACCGCCAGCGAGCGCTTAAAGACGACCACGCGGCCGCCAAAGCTAATTTAGCCCGACGCCTTCAAGTCCGAGGGGATGCGAAGCCTCTCAGCGCGTTAGCCATGAAGGCGCTCGACGACACTTTCAAAGTCGCCGGAGAGAGCCTAGCACTTGCTGCGCTTCTTGAGAAGGCCCAAGTAGGGTCCTTATCCCCGAGAGAGCAAGCGATGGTCACTGCGGTAGACGTCTTATTGTCGACAAAGCGTAACACGCTTGTAGCTTGTGGCCGGCGTCGACACCAAGTGGCAGCAGCGCCGACGCGAGCTCGACATGGCCGAAGCCACCGTGCGCCACGAATTGCAAGCAATGAACGAAGCGACGCCCGAGGCGCTCGACGAGCTGGAACACTCGATGGCGCTTCAGCGCGAGACGTTGGAACTTGCGGCCGATCAGGAGGCGCACCAAGTGCGAGCACTGGAGGCAGCGATGAGTGGTGAGGACGACAAGGCTGCCAACGACGACGACGATCTCCGCCGGGTGCGTAAAGACTTAAGCGCTCTGGTCGTCTCATCATATTGTCGTAGGTCCAGAGCGAGTACGCTGCGGCGTGTGCCCGTCGCCAAAAGGAGCTCGACGACGAGGCGGCGGCGCGGCGCGCAAAGCTCGCGGATCGTGTTCGTCGTCAGCGCCTTGCAAACGAGGCGCTCCCCAGCGACGAGAAGGCCGCGGCCAACCACGCATTGGAGGTCGAGGCTGCCGTCGAGACGCGTCAAGTCGAACTGGACACGGCGCTGCAGAAAGAAGCTATTGCAACGTCACGCCTCGTCCAAGCGGCAAAGAGCCACTCGCTGTCGCCAGTCGATAACGCCGACATTGAAAATGTATGGCTCAAAGGTCGCAAAGGGTTACTCATTGCAGGCTCGTAGCTGCTGGCGAGTCATGAAAAGAAGTGGGCGGACCGCAACCGCCTTCTCGCCGACGACCAAGCGCTTGCCAAAGCCGCCCTAGCCGATCGGCTCAAGAAGCGCCAGAACAAGGCGCTCAACGCTGTGGAAACAGCCGGCCTCGAATTGCACACGAATGTTGTGGCCGAGGCCCTCGCAACAGCTGCGCTGATTGAAAAGGTGCAGCTCGGCATCGAGCTGTCGGCCCCCGATGCCAAGGCTTTGAAAGAGGTACATTTCGCCGTTGCGTCATCTTCTGTATCGACATGGAACGTCTAGTTGACGACCGAGCACGACGCCAAGTGGAAGAAACGACGCGACGAGCTCGCAGCAGCAGAAGCCGACGGCAAACGAGTGCTGGCGCAGGACCCAACGACGACACCAGAGCGCATCGAAGAGCTCGTCGCCATTGTTGCAAAAGAGCGGGAGCTTGTAGACCACCTGGAACACGTCGAAGCGGCGCAGTTGGCGTCGTTGGCTCTTCCGCCGAGCACGGCGGCTGTTGATGACAACGAGGCGGCCATTGCCAGCGTACGTCCCTTGATGCACCAATGGGTCGACCTCATATTTGTGTGCCGTATTGTAGCTCCAAGAGGCCTTCCAGCGGCACCGGCAGCGAGAACGCGACCTTGCGGACGCCGAAGCGCAGCTTCGTAAAGCCAAACTCGCCGACCGACTGCGACGACAACGCAAGGCCAACGCAACGCTTCCACCCCAAGAGGCGGCGGCAGCAAACGCCCTCCTCGAGGCGCAAGCTACGCTGGAGGCGCATACCTTGGA